ATAACAAAGAGTGAAAAATTGAAGGCGGTCTGAATCCTTTCCGTACCCACTGTATAAAAGAAAAAAATGCAGAGGATCACTGAAGAAGAGACAAATAAAAGGTGATGGAAGAAGCCCAGAGAAACTTACAACAAGATGCAGAGCGATGAGAGAGAGAGATCATGTGGAGACGATTCAAGGGAGGTACATGGTCACATGTGGGGTAGAAAAAGGTTCCGAGACACGTTTATGAATACCATAAGAAGCAACCTGACATGAACACTCACCAGGCAGCGAAGGGGCTGAAAGCGAAGCATGACAGAAAAGGAAAACAGATAAAGAGAAAGGGGACAGAGAAAAGAGAGAAATTCAGAATGAAGACCAACTCTGAAGCAAACTGACCCAGAGGAAACGAGCTACAATTTAATGTTCATGAAACAGCAAATGTGCAGCCAGATGTGAGAGGTCTGCACAGGGACTGTCTACAAAGTGCAACAACAAAAAGAGGTACTACAAAAATATTCAATAGCTTCACTCTTAGGCACATTTTTCCCAAACTAAGTGTTGTTGTATAACCAACAGAAGACTGGTGATGTGTGACATGATTTCGTAGTATCTCTTTTGCTGTTGCACTTTGTAGACAGTCCCTGCGCACTCATCTTGTTCATTGTTGTACTTGTGTCTGAATGAAGCCCCGAGGACCATAATATTTGGACTATTTCTGGGGTTTGGACTTTTTGGTTGGACGAAAGAAGCTAAATGAATTGTTCAACTTAGATTCTAGGAAACTGAGATTAATCTAAATATTATGAAAATGACTATTAGATGTTGCCCTGTAGAGTTTTCTAATTTTAATATATCAAAGCAAAACTATCATAATGAAGAGCTCAACTCTGAGTAAACATGGTTGTTTTATAAACTGAATTTCTGATATGACCTGTATGGATGGATATGAATCAATGCATCCTGTGGGCAAACCGGAAGCATGCAAACAGCATTTTTATGCATGCAGTTTTTTTTCCCTTATAGGTTTCTTTAATCCCAACACCTGACAATCTCTCACTGGACAGCTGTCCTACCTGAACAGGTGGGCGTTTTTCTTATTGGCTTCCCTGTGATCATCACAGATAGTCACAGCGGTGGAAAGTAACAGAGGTGTGCACAAGAACACGCACATAAAACAGTCAACAGCAGGAGAAACGGGAAAGACATAGGGTCAAGACAAAAAGGCATCAAACAGACAATCACAAAAACTCAGTGTGGGGCTGCATGGCCAGCGTGGAGCTGAACAGCTGCAACGATCAGGATGAACTACATACAGTACAATGAGAGTTTGAGCAGAGGCAAAGACAGACACGGTGCTGACAGCAGGTGAATAATCACAACACGAAATTCAAGCAACAGACAGTGAAACTCTATAAATAAGATTAACATTCATGTGAAATATTTTGTCTGAAGTGCTACTTTTTTCATGCACGCAGTATTTTGTCCTCTCCTTGTTCCAGATGACAGTTTTAACACCTCAGAGCAAACAGCCTGTCTGACCAGTTTTTCCAGTGGCCACTCAGTTTTCTGATCTGGCAACATGACATTTTGAGTAAGATGTTAAGATGTTCTGTTAACCACATAAAGAGAAACTGTCTGGGTGTAATGGATACGAGGCCCATACCTGTCCAGTGTGGAGGTGGGCTGGCGGAGACTCATGTCTGCAGCCTTGTGACACTCCTCTCCTTCCTGGTGTGGGAATAACACTGTCACTGGGCCTTTTTTATCATCATCCCCATCATTAGTGTCATCATGTCTTTCCTCTTCAGTTTTCAGTCCACACAATGGGGCTCTCTGTTGAGCTTGGATCAGATCCTCTGGCTACGTAAAAGCGGGTTCAGATCAGACAGTGTTCTTCATGGTCCCATCCACTCAAGTGAAGTGGTTCCAATTAGGTGTCAGTAGAATTATAAAAAAAAAAAAGTGCTGCTAAAACTAACAATCAGATCTGACTATGTCATCAGTATCCTTCTTTACTAGACTGCATTTGCGGCTTAACATTAGTGGCTCAAAATAAATACTATCACAAAGACTGCTGGTGGCTTGATGCAGTGGTTCAGCTGTAGTGGAAAATAATAGTGTGCTTTCTTAAAGATCATCAGTCATGAGTATGGCATGTCTAGTTATGCACCAGGTCAACAGCATAAATACATTTTTAGTGTCTGTGTAAAGCTAATTAATTGAAGATCAAAGTTCAACATAACTGCTTCAATCCGCATACCTGACCAGATAACAGCACAGGATATCGTTGAATGATATTCGCTGTGAGCTTGCAATGAAATACTAAACAAAACCGTACATAGGCTTGTTTACCTGTGTGGCTTTCAACAGCTGTGACAACCTATATAATCCTACTCAAGATGTGCACTACCTTAACGTCGCTCGTTTCTCAAAGCGATTTTGACAGTTGTTATCTGTACTGACGTGCAAATATGAGGCTGGCTAACGCAAATTACTTCATACACAAAATAACGTACCTCAGTTTAATAAGGAAAGGGTGAATTTCTACAGCACTCGAACACGCTTCTGAGCTAACTGTACCTGGCAGAAATTTGCATGCTAACCACTGTAAACAACCAAGCCCGACGGTAGTGTTAGCTTTGCATACTCATTAACGAAATGGCTAGCTAACTAGTATCTATCGCTGCGCTTCCAAAAATGAAAGCACTGTGCAGAATGAAAGCCAAAGGCCCTTTTCGACTTTGAGTTGTGGCTTATCTAATGGGCTAACTGGGAAATATGAACTTGTATATCCACCTAGCGTTAGCCTGATGAGGTTAGCTCTATGGGTGGGCCAACTTCAATCCGCGGCATGGCGTTAGTGCTCACGTCGACCGAAAGCGCCGTGTTCTCGCCTTTTAGTTGCGCCACGACTGGGTTCTCCGAAGCTAGCTAGCTATCCAGCTAAGTCTGCAAGGTGAAAGGCCAACATGAGTTTAACTGCATACGAATATATGAATACTAAAATAGTAGAGATAGTAGCAGGCCATGCAAATTCCAGCTCGATATATCCCAGAGTCCTGTTTTCGGGCAACTTCAGACACTACATCTGCATGTTAGCCAGTAGCTAAAAGGCAATACGATTCCAGTAGAGTTCCACCTCAGGTCTTCTTTCCAAAAAACAGTGATAATCAAAGTTTAGCTTTTCTCTGCCGTGGTCTGCTAGAAGACTCGAAATATAATTACAGTCTTTGTTGCATAGCGTTATGTGCATTGCCTGTTTTAAAGCCAGTTCTTAAACTGTGTTGTTATCCTGCTGTCTTGACTTGCTGCTAATCCATCACCAAGGACCTTACGTACAAACAGGGCACCACAGCGCCCCCTTGTAGACGAACTGCAGTACTGCATGTAGTCCCCACTCCACTGCCTATCTGATACAACCATGCTGTCTGCTGTATGGAGCACAAAATAAAGAACCTTTAAGCTTACAAGTCGTCTTGGATAATATAGAGTCAACATTAATGATTTATATGTGTGGTTAGTATGACTGAAATATTTTGAACTATTAAAACCTCCAAAGCAGTGGGAAAAAAGAGAATAAAGGTTAGGCAAACTACTTTACTCAGGACTCAGTCTAGTAGCTTGTTTGGACTTTGCTTAATGCTGGAAGGATTTGATTAATCCTCAATTGAAGTAGAAAACGTAATTGTTTCAGGGCCCCTGAATAGAGAAAATAGTTCTCAACCATCTTGGTCATGGATGCATCTTGGAAACAGCTCCTTTTTTTCCTCATGAGGTTTAGCTATTTAGAGCATTTTAAACACATTTCTAAATCAAACTGTGTTTATATGGATATTTTGGTTTTATATACTTTGAATCACATACATCATAAACATTTAGTTATGATAATCAGTCATAGAGATTAAATAAAGTTCCATTATTTTAACAATTAATCACTCTTATTCAGAATAAGACTGAATCAGCTTGAACGCACGATGAATTTGCCTCCGGTCTGAATCAGTTTGAACGCACGATGAATTTGCCTCCGGTACAGTGGCTCTATGCATGTGCAATGTGCTTCCATAAGGCAACTGTAGTAATGAATGTAAGATTTATACAGCTGTTGTTTGCTGTAGATTTTACTCTAATTAATTTACAAATCATTTTAAGTTAATAATCATTTGCGCCGGCTAACACTTGCAGTCTTTGGCCATGATTTATAAAAAGCTCTCAGTATCTCAGAGTGCTGGGAATTTAAGGCTGAGCGTTTTCTCAACTAAGGCAACATGAAACACGTCAGAAGAGGAACTGCCATGACCTCAGCGAGGTTAGCGAGGCTGCAGCACTTTACCAAATAAGGCCAGTGCGGGGCGCGGGGATACATTCTCCTGAGTGCTGCTGGATGAGAGGGGGGATGCGTCTCCAAGTACGCACGGTGTTACAGGAACATTAGGCTTATAACAAAGATATGAAAGACAACTACGAGCTTAGAAAATCGGTAAGATCGAACTTCAAACTAATATTTTTCACTCAGACATTAGCAGCTAATGTTTCTCGTGGTCTATGTTTGGAATTGAGCCGATGATGGCACAACACTGGGCGTGACCGCTATTTGAGGCGGAAAGCGTCTTGACGGGTAATACGCCACTTGGAACGTGTGTGTTATATAGAATATAGCCTTAAAAGTAGATTTGAGTTAAGATGGCTTCATATCTGCAGTCTACGGGTTACACATATTTCAGCTGTGTAATTATTTTTCAGAAACCTTCTCTCTTCATATTGATGCCTTCACTTCACACCGATGTAAACTGCAACATTTAAGGTATATAGTGATATAGAGTAACATCCAGATTTGTTTATTTCAAGAACAAAACTTCTAGGCGTGCATGGTATGAATACTATCAAACCGAAAACCCCAAATCCTGTTTCCTGTCAGCTATTACTTCTAGGCGTTCATGGTATGAATACTATCAAACCAAAAACCCCAAATCCTGTTTCCTGTCAGCAGCGAGGGCACTGTGCCACAGACTACGCACACAACCACATGCACTGTGCCAAAGCAGATGTGGTTATCTCGTTTATGTCATACAGTAAACTGGGTGACTTCGCATGACCCCATGACTAGTATGTTTAAACCAACAGATTTTAACAGAAATGTAAAGATAATGGACTAAAACCTATATCGAACGACTGTTTTGTGTATTATTAACTAACATCTTAACTCATAAATGCTATAAGTTCAAGGCTCAGTTCCGATTAGGTGAAAGTGATTAAATGCTAATTTGATGTGTGTTAGTAATGGGAGTCTCTGCAGACCTGCCATTAGCTACTTCCTGTGTACAAGTCTCAACCACAGGTCTCAACACACACTCACAACAGGAAGTGTGGTAGTGCAGTTCATGGCTAATGAATGTAACAATTTTCAGGGTTTGCATTGTGAGAATGAAGGAACACGTTTTGGTCTGTATGGCTGCATGAGACATGCACCATATCTGGATCTGTGGAGCAGTTGTGGCCTCAAAGATTTAAGTTGTGTAACTGTTGTGGTGGATGGCCAGTAACCATAGCCTCTCAGACCATTATAACTTTAACTGGTCAAACACCACACATGCAATAAAAACTGTATAAATGATACACATTTTGGAAAAAAAAAACAGGCAGTGTCACACATGCTAGTGATAAAAGGTACATTTCCTCACTTCAGAGAATTCTGCCAAAGCAAACAGAATTAGTACCATGTGTCATAAAAAGCCACCTCCCCCTCCTTAAGTGTAAGCTCACAAAGAGCAACAGGGGAGGTCCTTCCTTTTTTCACATAAGGTTTTCTGTGTGTGTGATGTTTTCCTTATCTTATAAACAAATAAAAATAGACAGAAGTCTCTTTTAAACTGCATTTAGAGCAACTGGCACAGAAACTAAAGCTAGAAATGGATTTCTTATGTCAGAATAAACCTAGTCTCTCTCTCAAGGATAAGTAACGGTTGTGCAGTCAACAACCATGTTTATGCCTGAGTATGTTGTTCCTATGCACGTCTGTCTACCTTCAAATATCCTGTGATGCAGTTTGTCATTGTGCTTTGCTTTTCCTTATTAGAGACCAATATGACATTCATACTATATGGTAGATACTACAGTAGACAAAGTACTGGATTAGACTGGTCCTCAAGAAGGGAACTGCATTGTCATTTTTATTTACACTGGTCTCCTGCAAAACCTGCCTTAGTGTTTTACTTTGCAAATTTAAAACCAGTGCTCATCAGACCAGATCTCAGGCCTGTTTAACTCTGTTTGCTCCTCGGGTCAATACTGAACTTTAGAGGACAGCCCTGCAGGACTTTACACCTTACAAATGGAATGAATTACAATGGATTTTAAAACTTGAATGTCTCACCCCAGTGACCATTTTTAACTTTTACTCTATTTAATGGTGTTTCTGAGTGTATCTGATGCTAAATTTAATTACAATTCATTTGACTTGACATTTTCAAACCACTGCTGTTTGGCTACTAGAGGGCGCCAATGTCAAATTGTTGATCCATCCATCCATCCATCCATTTTCCTCTGCTTATCCGGAACCGGGTCGTGGGGGCAGCAGTCTAAGCAAAGATGCCCAGACTTCCCTCTCTCCAGACACTTCCTCCAGCTCCTCCAGGGGAATGCGAGGCGTTCCCAGGTCAGCCGAGAAACATAGTCCCTCCAGTGTGTCCTGGGTCTTCCCTAGGGCCTCCTCCCGGTGGGACATGCCCGGAACACCTCCCTAGGAAGGCGCCCAGGAGGCAACCGAAACAGATGCCCCAGCCACCTCAGCTGGCTCCTCTCGATGTGGAGGAGCAGTGGTTCTACTCTGAGCTCCTCCCGGGTGACTGAGCTCCTCACCCTATCTCTAAGGGTGCGCCCGGCCGCCCTGCGGAGGAAGCTCATTTCGGACGCCTGTATCCGGGATCTTGCCCTTTCGGTCATGACCCAAAGCTCATGACCATAGGTGAGAGTCGGAACGTAGATTGACCAGTAAATCGAGAGCTTCGCCTTACAGCTCAGCTCCTTCTTTACCACGACTGACCGGTGCATCGACCGCATTACTGCAGAAGCTGCACCGATCCGCCTGTCAATCTCCCGTTCTATCCTTCCCTCACTTGTGAACAAGACCCCAAGATACTTGAACTCCTCCACTTGAGGCAGGAACTCTCCACCAACCTGAAGGGAACAAGCCACCCTTTTC